AGTATGAAACTCAGTGCCCTGGCTATTCAGCATCATCTTGATGGCCGTGTAGTTCTCCGAGGTCTTCGGGAGGATTTTGACGGAGTCCCTACCGACCATCTTGAGGATGTAACCATTTGCTGCCTTGGTGTTAATTGCAGTTTTCAGTTCGTTAATGTTTGTAATCCCCGGAAGGATAATCGGCGGCGGCTTTATTTCTTTTTTTTGTGTGCTGGTCTTATCTTTGGCACTCTCTATATTCAATTTTTCATGGCTGATATCTGTTTTTAGACAGTATAGATGTCTCTGTATTTTTATTAGTGTTCTCCCTTGCACTCACAGCCTGCGGCATTTTGAATTTTTGAGCCGCGTTTAGCTCGCACTCGGACCCGGAATCACTCGTCTTATCTATAGTTTTTTTGTTTTGTATAGCGGGTCTCCCCCTTTTCCTCTTAGCCGGCTGATAGGACGCCTCACGGCCTCGCCCTGCGATGTGATATCTTCGCTGTCCATAACAGGGAGACTCCCCTGTTACGACCTGAAGAGACTTCGGCGTCACTTCCTTACTTCCTCTTTATTTTTTTTCCCACAGATCACAATTTTAAATACACGAACACGCTATAAAATTTGGAGCTCTCACAAGTACTACCGTTCTCTTTCGCGTGTGCGATGCGACTGTATTTTTTTTTTTTAAGAAAGTAATTTTGTTATATTATTGAAATATTTTTTCGGAAAAAAATCATGTGTGTTGCGTAAAAAGTTAAATGATTAAATTCTTGATTGGTAATAATTTTTAATTTAATAAAATTGTATTTAATTTAACGATTTGATGATATGAAAATATTTAATTATCACTGATTCATTTAAATTTAAATTAAGAAATAAATTTAAAACATTGTTTTATTACATTAATAAAATAAAAGATTTTATTTCTTGGCGTCAGGACCTAATTGCAAGTTGTGATAGAATAAAGGAAAATGTCTTTCTAGAAAACTAATAACAGGTTCAGTATTGAACTCGATGTCAACAGATTTATCCTTAAGCGGATTAGTCTAAGATTTTTTGAATCTCGTATGCAATAATAACTTCTGAAATTATAGTTTGAAAAATATAACAGCAATAAACAACTGTTTTCAACCTTTTTCGCCTTTGAACAATATTGAAAAATGATATTTTAACATTTTCGTGGCGTATGTTCTCAAAGCAAACCAGTTGAGAATCACTGATATTATCAAGCGTAGATATTATCAAAAAAAATGTCCAAGGCATAATTAAATATGTAGCACCACTGTAATTTAGACAATTTTGCGTAGCATTTTTTGAGTAACAAAGCAATTTAAATTTCTATATATTTTTACTATTTGAAAGCAGATTAATCGATGTCTCTAAGTTTATAAAATATTTCCTTTTAGCATTTATTTTTTTATGTATAATTTTGAAAGTAAATGATAAATAAAATATAATTATGCGTATATTGTATAATTTTATTAATATATTTGACTCATGAATTCGACTTACGTTTGAAGTTGGGGGATACAAATCCCCTCGTAAAGTGATCTTATATAAATATTTTACATTAATTTACAAACATATAAAATATAGATTTGAGTCTTCTGAAAGAAAATATGGATCGACGTCAATATCGGCATTCGTGGAAACATGGTTTAATGTATAGAATACCTGAGGACGAATAATGGACGAAGTAAATGTATTCTGTGTGGAAGTGGAGATCTGGATCTATTTACGTGGAATAAAAATTCTAGTCTTTCCAGTGTTTAATCTCATGTTTGTTTGACCTGCAGGCCGTGAACAACGTGATCGTGAGAATTTATGGTATCTGCGATTCTTGCCTTCTGAAACATATTCTTCAGATATTTCTATACTAGTTGGAGGGCGTTCACTCTTAGCTAGCTGAGATAGCTCCTTCTGATAGTTCAACGTTCTGGCTAAATCGTCAGCAAT